CAAGCAGCAGATTCACTGAGAAACAAAATAATCAAATGGTTTGGTCATCTAGTAAGAATGCAGCCATAAAAAGTAGAAGCTACATGTGAAAAGATCTGATGTGAAAGCAAGAGGTCGCCCTAGGAGGATATGGATTGATGCCATTAAAGAGCATCTACTTTCCATGTTATTTCCTAGAACTCATTTTAGGCTAGGTCAACTTATGTGCCAGTGTGAATTTTTTTTTTCGTCCTCATAAAACATCTGCCAATTAATCTAGACAGTTGTTTTGAAACGAATGTTCTAAAAAAATCTGGGATAAAAGTTTACAATTAGCTCCAGTTTTGTTCTATGAACAGGGTGGATCTGTCTTCTATGTCTGTTGAGGCCTAGATCTGTTGAGGAGTGTTGTTTATTTGACAGTATGTACATAATTTCCAACAGAAAGATTTTATACCTAGATTTCAGCCAAGAAAAACTTCCGCTAGAAACTACTGTTATAGGAAAGAAAAATCTCTGATACACCACTACTTTAACACAAAGAATAGAATACTATACTGGAGCTAATGCTTGCTAAACACTGTTTACATAGTCTTTCAAAAAATCACAACAACATCACATTGTCTAACAATTGGCAAATCAAGCATGATTTTTTTCCAACCAGTTTTTGTAGTGTACAAACAATCTTTGACATATCACAATTGTGATACAACAAACACTAAGTAGAAGTCACATTCGATGGTAGCCATTGTTATATCATATACAATCTTTGAAAGATAGCTACTTTAGTACAACAAGCATCACACAACTGTGAACCACTAAAATATGCCACTGTTTTATCACATACAATCTCTGACAGACAGCTATTTGTGTACAAGCATTATACAACTGTACATAACAATGTGAACCACTGTTATATGCAACTGTGAACAACTGTTACAAACAATTTTTGACAAATATCTACTTTAGTACAACAAGCACTATACAACAACTGTAGATCACAACTGTGAACTATTGTTATGTACAATCTTTGACTGACAGCTACTTTAGTACAACAAGCAGTTGAGTCAAACATTGACATCACAGCACTCTGGGCATTCCCATGCGCGCTCCATCCTCATTTTTAGCAGCCAGTGTAAAGTACCGGTCACAGTCTGGTTATATGTCCGTCTTGCTTTTCCTCTGAGTGTAGCGAGCTGGCAAGACCCTCTGGTTACACCCAGGTGCCTCATTCTCCCCAGGCCATAATAAAGTACATTAAGCATTACATAACAACCGTAGATCACAACTGACAGGCGGACCCCACCCACAATGAGTACCCGGAATGCCCTGGGTGACCGGCATGATGCTAACCACATCCCCATCAAGTACCCAATGGTCTATTCAAATATGTAAAGGACCATGTTTGCACCTGCGGAGCTTTTGGCGTACGATGCTAGGCTCACATTTTTAACAGAACATTGACTGGCTGCGTTACCAGGGCCTCTCCCCACCTATACTGCTGAACCCTTTCAGTCACAGAAGATCACAGCCAGACTGAAGCAATAATGATGATAACAAAAGTACAGGCATATTGCATCAATCACGGTCCAAATATACCACACACTGTGAGTATCTTGTGTTGCTGGGTTGATTTAGTTTGCCTGACTAAACTTAAGATGCACAAATATACAAGACATGGTGCGTTGCTTGGTATCAAAAGAGTTACAAACGGTAACGGTCTAAGCTTAAAACGCTGTGTGAAAATAAGGGAACATGCCATTTTTCTTTTGTGAAAACAATTCTTTTTTGTTCTTCTTACCGGCATCCAAACACATCACCAGAATTATGATATCTCATTATGTTAACAACAAAACACACAAAGACAAACTTCAGTAAAGAACCACCCACACAATGGCTGTATATAAGTGTACACAGCTCTTAAATGCAAGGCCACACATGGTATTTTTTCAAAGAAAAGTTTTTAAATATTATCTCTGTATATGAAATGTGCACAGGCTGTTAAAAAAAAAAATTCATAAAAATACAGAAGATGCAAATACATATGTATTAAATCCACAGTTAGATTTTCTGCATATTACAACAGTTTAATATTACCAAGCAGTTTTTTAACATAAAATATGGTATTATCATGGCCATTTAAGTAAAAGCGATACAGTTGGTTCACTCAAACTGTAACATCTTGAAAGACATACATTAATTGTCTTCTGCTAATTATTCTTCAATAAGGCCTAAACCCCCAACTAACTCAAGCCAAGTTGTCTTATACCTTGCAGTAGCCTGCAGCACACCATATCTTTTTCACATTAAACTCTAATTTTCTTCTTCATATTTGGTCTCCCTTTACTCTTTGGCCATGTGGGCTTTAATGCAAGGACATTTAAGTAATACTATTATTAGGATATACAATTAATAATAATACTGTTATCAGGACAGCTCCCTCTTTACACGGTTCTTGGCATTTTATTTTCACAAATCTACATCAACATCAGTATCATTCTAGGCTGATTACTGATTGAGTGCTACCTTTCAGGTAATTTATCACACAGAAACAGCGTATGCTGAAGCTCACTGAGACATATGCGATACAACTGAGTAGTCCTACGCTATACAAACAGAAGGATCTTGTGGTTATTTAAGACTTCCCTGGTGAGAGGTACAGAGAAACAATGGATTATGGGATCTGTATCAGTCAAAAAGATCAATTTTCGAGCCTCACTGATGTAACACATGTGTTACATATTTGACAAGCAATACAGTTTCCACCTTCATCATTTAAATACCTATTTTTGCTAATTTACTATCAATACACTGGATACTACAAACTAAATATGTCATAAACATGCAGAGAGGACAGCAATCAAGAAAACACAATTCAGTCACAATATTCAACAATGCATATAAATTGCAAAGATAAAAACTAACGACAAAATCAAATTCAAATAAGTTAGCCACATATACAGTTTGCACAAACTTTACACTCAAAAGTGGAACTCAGTAATTACTTCGCAACCAACAGCCCATATTTCAAAAGTCCACGTCATGTACTGAAACTTATATACACATTAATAATTTGTAAACATTCATTTCATTCATGCACATCAATATATTCTTCTTCTTCTACTCTTCACCCCAGTGCGCCCTATGCCCTCAACAACCTACGCCAAGTCACCCTGTTCTTTGCTTTCATGTGCAGCTTATCCCATGTCTTTCGCATCCTTTTAACGTCACTCTCTAGCACTCTTCTGCGTGTGTTTATTATAGTCTGTCTTTATTTCTATGCCCCTGGGGAGTTTTGTTGGAAAGACATTCTAGTTAAATTGTTCTCAGCTATTCAACGGCAGCAACTTTTCTTCACCTCTTGGTTCACTGCGATTTGTTTAGTTCTCTCCCAAAACTCTACATTAATCACTTGAACCAACCGTTCGATTCCCTCTCTTCTGTGCAAGTAGATAATTAAATGCAATGTGTAACATGCAATTTAAATAAAACCAATTTTATAAAAAAATTTGAAAAAAACAATGTAATATTTCTTTTCCAGTATTTAGTTATGTGTCTACCAAAAGTAGGACTTTTCACTTCCATTCCTTACTTAATAAATGGGTGGAAACAACATAATGAACTAAAATTGCAGCAAAATATTAAAACATAAAAACAAACACACATTAGCAATACTAATGACCCAAGTTATCTCAATAGTTTCTTTACAACTGTGGAAAAAAAAAAATTCTGCAGATGTTTGTTTTCATCTCAATGAAAATAGTGAAATCTATTCTAAAATCTTAAAGAGGCATATCTAAGATTTATTGTCTTTTAAGAAGCATATTCATTAAAAAAAAAAAGAAATAATTAAAGCTAAAATCTAGCTTTTCAATCCAGTACATCATAGAGAAACCAGATCGTGAATGATCAATTATACCAAATCAGTTTTCAATATATCGGCAATAAATCACACAGGTAAAAAGACAAAATGCAATGTGGTAGACATAAAATAATGTTCCATGAAGGCTAACCCAAGCAACAAATGTTTGCAAAAGTCTGATGTGTCTGCCAAAAGGCGAAAATAATGCAGCCATTCTGTCGACAGACATAGCACATTTACATCTTTGCATGAATGCAGAAGAAGATAAAAAAATAAGGTCTACAAGCCATTCCAAAACAAATACTACAAAGCCTGATAGAAGGAAAGAGAACATGAGGCAGGCCAAGAAAGATCTAGATCCAAACATCTGTAAACAGGAGAGCATGCACAAAGCTTAAACAGTCGACAGCAAGACAGTGATTCAATGTGTTCTGTGACTACAGACAGATATACAAGCAGCCACTGGTGTTGTAAATCGACAAAGAATTTATAAATGACATTCTAATGATACTGCTACATTAAACTCATAAAGGTAATGAGGCTGTCCAAGATTGAAGACTGGTGCAAGATCTGCTCTCTCTCAAATACACTGTTTCCAGTGGGAGCTTCTGGGTACCATTTTGAGGGAAGGGAGAAGAACATACTCACTCCCACCCCCCTTCCATAAAACAAAGCATGAGGTAAAGGGTAACTAATTAGTAATTAGGCTGAAACTGAATGTGTTGGGCTGACAGACGTAGATATTGTATAATCCAGCTGTAAACGCCAACACAACCTGTCAATCGCCCTTTACGGGATAACACATAAAAATATTAATGAAAAAGTATGTGCCCCGTGCAGCTGGAAGTATTGTTTATACAACATTATACAATCACTTTTCTATTTTGTAAGGATGTAAATCACTTCCACTAGCTTTCTTTCATACCACTAGCTTTTCTATTTTGTCAAGATGTAAAACATCACAATCTTTTATCACTTTTTATACTAGACAATGAACAGTCTCAGTATAACTTTAAAAACAAATGATAAGGATCACAATGCTGGAAACATTTGACTAAAAAATAACAGTAAAACAACAGACAAGCATACTCGATTTCTAACACACCCTGCGTCATAACCACTCCAACACTAATTTGAAAGTCCTAATTAGAAGCCTTCGTCATTTTGTGTCCATCTGGTCATCTGATGTGTCTTCATCCACATTTCTCTGCAGGTTTAAAAGTTTATGTGACAGAGTCTCACAAAAAGTGCTCCGGTATTCAGAGCTTTGACTGTCTAGAAGACTGTAAATAGTTTCATAATGCCGAGAATCGCTCTGAGGATTCACATCATTGTATTGTGTGCCAACCACCTGTTGAAGAAGCAAAACAAATTTTAATGTAGACAAATGAATAAAGTTATAATCATCATCATAATCTACTTTTGCCTTTAATCCAGTGTTTTCCAACAAAGGGGCCGATGCCTCAATTTTAGAAAGGCTTAGGTGGGGCGTGGCTTTAAAAAGGTTGGAAAACACTGCTTTAACCCTCATGTTGGTGAATTTGAGTGTGCCCGAGTACTTTTGTTTTGGATAATTCATGTTTTCAGTCAAGGCTGGAATCACAAGGTAGTCCATAAAATTAACAAACTTTAATAAAAGATTTAATCTCATAACTCTTAATTCATTACTTTGATGAAATGTTACAAAATTCACTATTTTGATGAAATGTTACAAAATTCATTACTTTCTCAAAGACGGAAGTATTAACTGATTCTGTATGCGAAAAGCAACGATTTCAATTTTACGACATACTTGTTAGGGGTCATTGGGTCTATTCTTTAAAATATAAATTATCAGAAATTCGGATGCAGAGGTACTGAACCATACATGATGGTGCACTAGGACCATGGCTCATACTGGTAGAGACCTGTCTACACTTCTCCACAATCATCTTAGAAACAGGTTCCCAACCAGAAGCCTGGCCAAAGCAGATACGATTGAAGCTCCAAATGAGGTTTGTGTGCATGAGCCTGAGACAACAGGAATCAATAGTCTGGACATGATTAAGCCACATCTGTAAAACGGATGTGCAAACAACATTCCAGTCCTGGAAGAAGACACAAATCCAGAAGTGGTAGAATGACCAGGACTTTTTATCTGAGCTTACAGCCAGTGAACAAAAAAGCATAAGTGAAAAGGATGTTACAAACTGTGTAGGGCACATCCTGAATGAGATACAACAGACTTTAATAAGAATGGAGCTGGTTCATCCCAGTTTCATGCCTTAGGGTTATTATCTCTTTGGGTACCACAGAAATCACTGTACGTTTCTAGTTATTTCAAAACGTTCATTCTATCATATTCCTGTGTGGGGACCGGGGTCCCATTGTGGAGAAAACAAGAACAAACCCGCTGCCTCCCTAACAAGCATACCATAAGAATTGAGAGCTTCCTTCAAAGTCAGAGTGCATCTGCCCGAGCGGCAAGGAGCAACCAATTGCACATAAATAAGCCAGTAAAATAGATGTAGAGACAAAACTCGGCTATCCTCCGACTAACAGTTGGTAAAGATGGCACCGCAAAATATCCTTTCGAGCCACAGTCACGTGACTTCACTGCGCACACTGCTGCTCGTGGGTCCTAGCCATCTAGTTTAGCCCCATTCCATGCCACGTAGGGGACACATGGCGGTGGCGGTAGTCGCCGGAAAGCCGCAAATTAAGTCACGTGACTGTGGCTCGAAAGGATATTTTGCGGCCGCCATCTTTACCGACCGTTCGTTAGAGGATAGCCCAAAACTCAGACTCTGGCACAAAGCCAAAGTCCAAATAGATGCAAAAAACAGGACTTTCCACCAGAACTTCAACCAGTGAATAAAGAAGAAGGGTGACCATAGTCATACATCCCATTTTGATTGGGATTTTAGGCGTCCTGACCATTCCATCAGTATTTTTTTTTTTATGCGTTATCATGATTTATAAAAAATCTTGGGAATTAGCTCGCGATCAGGACATACACTTGTAGTTATATATATAGACAAATCAGATTTAATAATTTTGTACACTTTCAGTGGGCCCTTTTTACCCCCCCCCCTCCCCCCCCCCCCCCCCCCCCCCCCCCCCCCGAAAGGAAAGAGAAAGAAAAGGAGCTAGGGTTGTTAACGTAACTCTTGCTTGCCGTGTGATATTCCGTTTTTTAACTTAAGATATTTAATTTTGGCTATCTTCCGAAGAACGGTCCCAAATTATCAAGGCCGAAAATATACCCTAACAGGGCCTCAGTCACATGTCAATTGCAGACTTCCGGCGACTTAAATTGCGCATTTCTGGCGACTACCGCCACAGCCGAGAGTATCTTCCATTCCGCTACGCGTGGTGTGGATTGGGGCTAAACTAGATGGCTGGGACTCATAAACAGCAGCTACCGCATCTCCTGCAGCTTCCTTTATTTTATTTGCTCGTCCCAGCCATCTAGTTTAGCCCCAATCCACGCCGCTATGCGCGGCGTGGGAGATACTCTCAACTAGATGGCTGGGACTCACGAGCAAATAAAATAAAGGAAGCTGCAGGAGATGCGGTAGCTGCTGTTTATGAGTCCCAGCCATCTAGTTTAGCCCCAATCCACACCACGCGTAGCGGCATGGATGATATATAATCTCGGCAGTGACTTTAACTTGGCGGAAGCTTCTCTACGGTATGCTGTGTAGTTGCTGGAAAGAGGTCCGCAATTTACATGTGACTGAGGCCCTGTTAGGGTATATTTTCGGCCTCGATAATAAAATTTGCACCGTTATTCGGAGGATAGCCCTACCTTTCAGGTTCTATTAGACTATTATTAAAATAATAAAATCCGCTAGTATTTAGTAACACAGTTACTTTAAAAGGGCCTACACGGAATCTTCTGTCAATTAGATTTTTTTAAAAATAATGTTTACACAACAACTATCTGCTGTGTACCGTAGCCGTAGGACCCACCCTAAATCCTTGCAACGAAAGTTCCACACATAGATCTTGATTTTCCTTCGTTGTCATATTAATATATACAAGATTAGATTCCGATGGAAGCACTGTGGAAACTTCGACAAATTTAACAGCATATGCTATTTCTTTGACAACTTCAGCAGCTTCAATACTTATGGCTCTATCATCGTCAATGAGCATGTCGGCACTGGGAACGGGACCCGCCATTGTTGTAAATTGCTTAGCAAGCAAGAGTAGTCTGTCGCTTGTGCGTTTTTACGTTTAAGATCCGTTTCGGTTAACAGTAACTTCATCAGGGTTATCAGCATAATTGAATTTTCGCTGGTCATTAGCCGGCTGCCCCAAAAAATTGGGGGCGGAGGGCGGGTAGCATTTTTTAAATGCACCAAAAGGTACTGAATGTTTAATTAAAAAGGCTGTGAAAACGTCTTTAAAACACACACACTTACACGTATAAATATATTTAACTGGCTTATCTTACATTTGACCATAAATTAGATTCTTTGTCCATAACATCATTATTGTCCCCCCCCCCCCCCCTTTTTTTTTTTTTTTTTTAATCGCTCAGTTTGTTACAAAGTTGTGGCGGCTTCTAGTTGCTGAAGTTAATCGCTTGGAGTAATAACTTTGATCTCAGCAATGCATTTATTTTTGAAGCCCTCAAAGAAAGGCGATTTTTTCCACTCTTAACGTTGTTAAGTGGGGAAACAACTTTTAATAATATAATACTTCCCGTCCTTTTTAGGACGAAATTTTGCGTTATTTGAAGCCCTACTCTGGCTTTTGCCAGGGGCCGGAATATAGCCTGGCCATAAATATGGCCTAAAGGCTGGACGCGGTTTCTGGGACCCCTCCACGGTGATCCTCATCCACATGGTGGCGCATTGTGTCATCGGGTATTTATCGCTTGTGTGATGTCCTGGTGGGACAGAAAGTCAGTCAGTCGAAACAACTTTTTTTTTTGTGCAGCTGCAGAAGAATAATGTAATCTATATATATATATATATATATATATATATATAATATATATATATATATATATATATATATATGTGTGTGTGTGTGTGTGTGTGTGTGTGTGTGTGTGTGTGTGTGTGTGTGTGTGTGTGTGAAAACGTCTGTATGAATTTCACTGTCTTTTGTAATTCACAAAGCGGCCCGTAAATTTTGACTTCCACAAGTGTCTCTTATGGCCAAAGGTTTTGCCTGAAAGCGTTGAATATGGGACAGTCTTGAAGGATGTGATCTGTTGTTTCAGGCTGATTGGCCAATCTTAAATTTGTTGTACATGTGGCAGCGAAGTCGATTGTGTCCTGTTCTAAGGCGAAGGATAATGACTTGCTCTGGTCTGTCAATAATATGGTAATCGTCTTGTGCCAGTTTCGGTGGCATTCTGATTGATTTGATCATTCCCTTCTTCTGTTGATAAGAGACTGGTATGTCCGGTTGTTCTTCATTTGCACCTACCTTAGCTAGTTTATCAGCTCTTTCGTTTCCGGAAACTCCACAGTGGGAAGGTATCCACTGCATTACTAGTTTACAACGGTTGCCTAGTTCGGATAATAGTGTCCGTATGCTCAGTAATTTTCCAGACTGGAGTGACTGAAGTACCGCTTTTGCATCTGTCAGGAATATTACTGGTTGTGAAAAATACCCCGTATTTAGTAGTTTCTCTGCTGCTATCTTGATGGCTTGAACTTCTGCATCATAGTTGTGACAGTGCTTTCCTGTTGGTATTTTGGCTGTATCCCTGGTATTATTAGGATACTCAATGTACACTCCTGCACCTCCGTTTCTGACTGCGCTTTCTGCTGACCCATCTGTGTAAACACGGACCCAAAGATTATGTGGGTATTCATCCTCAAGTAGACTGAGGGTGGCTGTTTTGCCCTGCACCCTGTTTTGTTCTTCCTTGTCAAATACCCCTTTCGCTTCAGTCTTGATGTGTATAGGAAACTTATACTCCTCTCTCCAGGGGGTCCGTTCTGGGACAGCATTTAAGGATCTATCAGTTGCAGGCAAATCAGTGATTTGTCTGCCGAGCCGTTTCCCCTGGTGGATGAAACTACTTCTCTTTAGTCGTCCCAAAACTAGATTTTGAAATCTCTCATTCATAGGGTGACTGGGCATACTAAGAAACTTTTCTGCTTGTAAAAGCATCTTGGTGTCTCTGCGTTCACTCAGTGCTTGGGTCATCCCCATTTTCTCCATCACAGCTATAGGTGTTGATTTCATACTGCCTGTGGTAACTCTGAGTGCTTGATTTTTCACTTTGTCTAATTCTTGCAATGTGGTTTTTGATGCCGAATTCCATGCTGTTGATCTGTATTCAAGATGTGGTCGAACACTTTGCTGGTAAACTTTCCTAAGTATTTTTCCGCTAGCACTCCATGTGGTTCCACTTAGTTTTCTCAGAATGGCTACCCTCCTTCTGGCTTTGGTTGTTGCCCTGTTGATGTGTTTTCTTAATATATATATATATATATTTTTTTTTTTTTAACTAAGCACAAATTTTGATACTCATATTTTTCTTCCGAAATTTTAAACCAGCGTGAGTACTGGAGGTCTCTGTGGCGAAGTGGTTAAGTTGTTTGCTTCGCGCTCTGAAGATCGTGGCTGCATTGTTCATTTCACAGGTGGAATTTTTACGGGACCGCGGCTCGCCGGGGCTATGAAGTTCGTGTTCTGTGCCATGGTCACAATAAAGTCAATCTTCTCGAGTTTAACCGTAAACCTTTATCGGAGACAGCGTACGATGGAAGCCATTCAAAGAGTCTTGCAAAATTTCTAAAACGTACCACAATGATGGAAGTTCTTTGCTCAGCAAGGCTCATATAGTACCAAATGTGGGCTCTCCTTTAAACTACGGCCGGTAGACAACAGTATACGGCCGGTTAGTCGGAGTTCAGTCCCGTGGCTACATTGCAATTACGGACTGGAGAAGGCACGAATCAGAAAACACAGTGAGGTCGACATGCCTGGCAGACTCCACACTGCGACTCAAATTAGCGACCGCGTTTAATTACCGCTTCTTGCGACGCATTACGGAGTGGACTAGAGGGAACGACACAAGTGACATAATTACTGTGTGTTCGCGATACACAGCGTTCAGTGCCCTACTGTCATCATACGGTTACGGTTTGGGTTAGGGTGTGGGTTAGGTGTAGGGTTAGAGTTTGGGTTGCTTCTATGAGTTTGTGTGAAGACGAGATGCGGCGACACTAACCGTAACCCTAACTCACACCCTAACCCTAAACCTAACCCACACCCTACCCCTACCTCTTACCCAAACCCTAACCCAAACCGTAACCGTATGATTATAGCAGGGCAGTGCACGCTGTCTATCGCCAACACACAGTAATTATGTCATTTGTTTCGTTCCCTCCGTTCCACTCCGCAATTGCACTGCAGCAAGGGGACAGAACTCCGACTAACCGGCCGTCTACTGTTGTCTGCCGGCCGTAGTTTAAAGGAGAGCTAAATTTGTACTAAAGTATCAAATTCCGCAGCCCTGGTTAATAGTTAGGTTGTAAGCTTGGGTGGTGATGGGGAGTATGTACTTTTTCACGTGACTTAACTGATCTTGGGGAAAGTAGTCACACTGTTTACCTCATCATTTGAAACTCGCGTGTGTGTTTCGTCACTGGTCCAGTTCATGCGTGCAATTTTTACAGAGATCAACGGAGATCGTCGACGGAGCTACAGAGTTCGTATTTTATGCGAGACTCTATCTGTTTTATGTAGAGAGACCGAGCATATGGAATAAAATCCCGTGCATAGACGATGAATTAGATCCTCTCGATTTTAACTTTTAACCTATAAAACAATATAACGCTATGAACTATGATTCTGAATCCTTACTATAGAGAAGTGGTTCTTAACCTGTGAGTCGCGACCCTTTTGGGTGTCGAACGGCCCTTTCACATTGGTCGCCGAAGACCATCGAAAAACACATATTTACTTAACTTATAAAGTAGCAACAAAAATAATGTTGTGGTTGGGAGTCGTCCTAATGCATTAAACTGTCTTAAAGGGTCGCGGCATTGAGAAAGTTGAGAAACACTGCCACTGAGTAAATCTAGAGCTGCGATGGCCGAGTGGTTAAGGCGTTGGACTTGAAATCCAATGGGTTATACCCGCGCAGGTTCGAATCCTGCTCGCAGCGAATTTTTTTTTCGGGGACTCCGTGGCGAAGTGGTCAAGCCGTTTACCTCGCGTTCATGGGCTCGTTTTGTAGTTTTGCCCGTTAGTTCACAAGCGCAATTTTTATGGAGATCCATTAAGGTCGTAGCCGGAGCTACAAAGTTCCTGCTTTGTGCGAAGCTCTCGGTAAGCGGTTAGCCGTAAGAAATCGATCCTCTCGACTTGTGTCATTACCTTTTAACCTATAAAACAAGAGAACACTGTCGCTTGGAAAGATGAGGAAACTGACAATAAAAAGTGTGTCTATGTGTGATTTATACTGGGTGTTCCTTAATTCAACAGTCAACGCATTTTTTTTTTTTAATAAATGCATACGGCATCAGTGGCTTAGGCCTCGCTAGTCCGACTCTAATTCCAACGTACCGCGATCGAATCCCACAGCTGGCTGCGTGGATTTGTATCATTGTATCACCTCTCCCAGCAAAGACTGTGGATCTGGCCCAGGGGATCCACATTGCGAGAGAAGCTATGGGGGACCGGCGGCGACCTTAAACGCACAGTCCTATTTTTGACCCAGACGGGACTCAATGTGTAGCATGACTGGTGTCGAACGCAGAAGAAGAATGTATCATTGTATGGAGCGTCGCAGTTCGACCCAGCCTAAAAAAATGGGTACCAGGATGGCTGTCCTGAGAAAGAAAAGACGGTCAGCGTAATTGACCACATTACCCACCTTGTGCTAATTGTCTGTAAAAATATGAATTAATCAAGTTACATAAAGTGTACCGATCGGCACTCATAGAAAGAAGTAGAAATATACCCGATAAGCCTTAAAAGGTGAGAAAAGGGATCTTACTTTTTGCATACGGCATCACTGGAGTTGTGTAGTTCGTAATTATGTGCGTGTGTGTGTGTGTTTAGTTGTGTTAATTTGTTCTGACGGTTCGCAGTTTAGATATCAGTGTTTTCGGCGCTACATTCGCTGACACTAGGCCTATGTGCTAAGTACCTGCACCTTTGAGACAATTTGTGGTGAG